CGGTGATGATTTAACGTAATGAGAACATGTGCAGAGGTTACTGCAATTCATGCTCCGCTTTATATAAGAGAATCCAGATGCTGACATCAGTCACTCTCAGACCAAGCCCCGACAACGCCGAGGGAAACCGCACTTCCGTTCAGGACATGCTTTAAGGCTGGAGTAAAAAACGCCAGAGATGATTTCCGACCCGGGGCCAAACAGTTCTTAGTTTACATTTGACAACAGAAAGAAGTTGGAGTGGTGGCTTGAGACTGCCGTGCCAGCGTGTGGGCGATGGGTCAGGATAATCAAAAGTTCTAAGATACCCTCCGCAGTAACTGAGGCCAGCTGGGCTATCTGAGACCCTACACCAAAAAACGTAAGACAGAGTTGAGGAGGTAGGTCAGCTGGGAAAACGCTTGCCTGGCAAGGTTGAATGCCTGGGGTTTCTGAGGAAAGAACCCATGCAAAAAAATGAGAGATGAGGGAGTCGGTTCAGCAGTTAAGAGCACTGGCTGTCCTTGCAGAGGGCTTAGACTCAGTTCCCAGCACTTACATGGAGGCTTGTGATCATTTGTAACTCCAGTTCCGGGTATCTGACACCCTCTTCTGGCCTCTGCAGGAATGAGACATGCATGGGGTACACAGACATCGTGCAAGGGGGAAAAAAATCTATGCATTAAATAAAATAAATCTTACCAAAAAAAAAAAAAAAAAGTTGGTGAGCGTGCATGCAATCCTGGTGCTGAGAAGAGAGAGGGAGACAAATCCCTGGAGTTCACTGGCCAGGTAGACTAGACTAGTTTGTGAGTTCCAGGCCAGTGATAGATCCTGTCTGAAGAAAGACAGCTGTGTAGTTGATCTCTGGCTTCTAGATGTGTGTGCACACACAGGAACACAAATACACATAGGAACACACACCCACACAAACAGGAAAGGGAGAAGAACATTATTTCTTTTTCTTGATAAATCTAAAATCCCTTCTTTAAAAAAAATATCTGAAAGTGTTCAGTTACTTACTTCTTAGGAACAGTGTTCCAGATATGAAATTATGACTCAGCTCTGCTTGGTGTATACAGACTATCTAAACCAAGAACTGAGTGCAGATTTCAGACATGCAGCATCTCTGTGCAACCAAATACTGTTTCACTTGCAATAATAAAAGAATAGTAATCTTAACTTAGAAAAATATGGTTGCATTTTCCTCTAACACTCTTCGCCAGAAACAAGATGGCGTGAAGCTCATTTGGAGCCTTACCCATGAATATTCTGCTGCTTGGGTGTTAGGAGATTCTCATTGCAAATCCAAGACCCTTGTGTAAGGCTGGCACCAAAGGAGAGAGAATCTGAAGGCCAGGAAGCCTCAGGAATTCCACAGAGACCTTAGGACAAAGCAAAGCACCTAGAAACCAAAGCTTGCCCTGAGCTCCCTCCTCATGCAGGAATTTTCTATATACAAATTAATAAGCCTTGCATCTTCCACATGAACATGGGGGCGTTGTGACTACAGACGGACAGACACACAGCAAAGCAGGAAGTTAGGTCCTAAAACCCAGGTCTCCTGATCTCAGCCTTTGTTACTCGAGTGGTGAATGGTTAGGCCAAGAGTCCTGAGCCCTGGGGAGGAGGAGGGACCCATGATGGCATGTTGGAGAACAAATTAGGGGAGTCAAGACTTCCATGACTAACTACCCCATGACGGAGCAGAAGCTCTGTGCTTCCTTTCCTGTACCCATAAAGCTTTCACAAAATGAACGCTTACTAGATTTCCTGCCTCCCTGAAGACTGTATATATTTGACTTCTTTTTACAAGCACTCATCTTTCATTAAAGTTATATATAAAGTGCCTTTTTTTAAAAGCACTGTCGAAGTACACCATCAGAAATTCCCCCTAACAAGAGGCAGGATTGTCTAGAATAGACAGTTGCCTTGGTGGAGGAACATGACGTTGCAGACCTCCCGTGGTCCCCTTGAGCTTGGTGGCTGGCCAAGTTCAGCATATTCTTGTCAAAGGACCCAGTAGGGAGAGGACCGTCTGGGCTCCATCTTGGAATGTATGGCCACTTCCAACATTGCCACCCTGGAGACCTGTGCCCAGCCTGGATGCTGACACCCAAGCGCTGCCTTTGCTAAGGGAGCAGGAATTGTGGGAGCACTTGTCTTTCCTCTGTTGTGGAGCTTGGATGAGCATCTGACGGGGAGTCTCAAGGGTGACAGAAATCACCTCTGAAGCCCTGAGGTCAGCCTAAAACCAGTGTCCTCTGCCCACTGTCCAAGTTCTCCTCAAACTACCACTAACAAAATTGCTAACAGACCCTTCTTGTTACTAAATCCTGGGATTTTACCCCATAAACCCAATAAAAGCGCCAGTCCTCCATGTGCCAGCCGCTTGCTAGGGACTGCTTCTTGGTGTCTCCTTCATTCTTAGGACATTGGGCACTGCCCCTGCCTTCTAGTCAACCAGCTCCTTGACTTCTGTGGCGTTGTCTGTGGGCTTCTCCCAGCTCCATCCCTAGTTTCTTTGCGAGAGCTTAAAAATTCATCTTCTGCCCAGCATGGTGTTACACGCACTGGGGGGGCAGAGGCAGGTGAATCTCTATGAGTTCCAGGCCAGCCAGGGCGGCATAGCAAGACCTTTCTCAAAAAAATAAAAAAAGAATGCGTCTTCCAACCAGATGTGGTAGCACACACCTGTACACTTTAGCACTCAGAAGGCTGAGGAAGAGAATTACCAGGTCAAAGCCAACCTGGACTATATAGTGAAACCCTGTCCTAAAAAAAACAGGTGTGGGATTAATCTTCCCCCGGGGTTCTCACTCCACCCTAACACACCCCACCTGCTCCCACCTCCTTAGCCACCCCTCCGACATCTGAGTTTCATCTCTCATTTCTTAGTGGTCAGCATGCTGAAGACGTAAAAGCATCTCTCCGTGTGTCTTTGCCAAAGGATGCTCCCCTCTGGCATCGCTGTCTCTGCTAACGGCTGCTTCATCTGTGACACCGTCCCACTCATTCCTTTCCTGTGATGCCACAGAGAGCCTCTTGATTCTTCGCCCTCAGTTGTGGGGCTCTTCCCCCTGTCATCCACGCTTCCACCTCAGTCCTGCTGGAGTTGGCCCTTTGGATGTCACAGCGGCTTCCGGTGTCCCTCACTCAGCCTCCATCCTCTGTGCAGCCACCAGTGGATCTGCTCTGGGCAGGGAAAGCCCGGCCTTTCAAATCAACTCTACCTTCCTTTCCTAACCATTAACCTAAACCACCTGGAGTTCTCATTTATAGGTGTACGTGACTTTGTCCTTACAGCAGCCCCCTTTTCCCTCTTATTGCCCCTCAGATGGCTATTTACCCCTCCAGAGCCAGCTCAGTGCTCCCTAGCCGGTAATCAGTCTTGACGAATAGATGTATTTATTAATACCTGCCTTGCCCTTTCAAGGTGAGCATTTCCCTATGCAGTGTTCCAGAAGTACTCTGTTCACATCGCCGTCGTTGTGTGTGTCAACCCGGTGGCTCCGCTTCATGTCCAACTCAGCCAAGAATGGGTGCTGTGTGAGCCAAGATGTGCTCCCAGGCCGCCATGCCCTTTGTCCCTGGAAGCCATCTTGCCCAGCCCTGTTTCTCACTTACATTCTCCTCAACACGGCACTAACTTGGGTGGCCAGTTTGAGCAGCGGCATTCACACAAAATTTCACATCCCTGAAACGGACCCTGAGCTTTCCATTGACTAGCACAGTTGGCAGGTCCCAAAATAACGACTCAGCGGCTGAACAAATAACAGATGGGTTTTTCTTAATACTATATAAAATACTGGTATTTTTTTTTCCATCTTAATGTAGTTATATATTGTTTCAGGTGACAAGTAGGTCTGTCCGGGAGAAAGTACTCATGGCAAGAGATGAGCGAGGTGATTTGCTGAAATCCATTGTTACGCTTTGCCAAGAGTTCTTCACACACAAAATTCAGTCAACAAAATGATTGCTTGTGCTGCCCCGGCCTTCCTAATCACAAATTCAGCCACTGCTCTGCCTTCAAACCGGCACACAGCATGTGGTTTCCTCTAGCCTTGCCTTTGATTTGTCTCCCACATTTTTCCAAAGTGGCTAGGAAAAACATTCCAAACATGAAAGTATGTAATGTTATATTCCATTTTTTAGAACGACTTTTCTTGGCAATTGTAAAAGAAAATTGGTAATTTTAAAACTAGTTAAAATTCAGAGCCGGGCGTTGGTGGCGCACGCCTTTAATCCCAGCACTCGGGAGGCAGAGCCAGGCGGATCTCTGTGAGTTCGAGGCCAGCCTGGGCTACCAAGTGAGTCCAGGAAAGGCGCAAAGCTACACAGAGAAACCCTGTCTCGAAAAAACCAAAAAAAAACTAGTTAAAATTCACTTCAAGGGAGCTTCTCTTTACGTATTATCTGGAACAATAAATTTTAAGTAATACTCTTAGTAAATATCTTCATCTCTGAAATAGATATGGTAGCTCTCAAAAAAAAAAAAAACCACCTTGTGTCAGGACAGTGAGGACAATGTCAAAGACCTCTTCTAGGGATTCAACAAAAGGTACAACATAACCATCACCACTGAGTGCAGTGAGCTCCACTCATCCCCTTAAAAGCCTTCTTTAAATCCGGTCACATTTCAGAATTTTTTTTAATGGAATATTGAGTGATATAAATAAATCAAAGAAGTTCCTGTCCTTTTCCCGAGTCTCCTGATGTAGAGAGTTGGCTGGCTAAGGCTCAAAGTGGACCTTTCCTGCATGCCAGTCCCAAGGTTCTGTGACCCAGCAAACAGAAAGATGAGAAAACGGAGAAAGAGAAACAGAGGCAGGGCCCGTGAATGGCTCACCACATCTGCTTCCGTCTAGGAAGGTTGCTCTCTCCTTCTTTGGCGTCCTCTACTTTTTAATGAACTTACGCTGTCGGTGAACTGTTGAACCGGTTTCGTTTTCTCACACCCTTCCATGTGTTTTCTCTCCTATTCTGTCCCTACCTGTCTCGCGTGGAAAAAAATCCATCAGGCTAACTGTCAGGTGAGTTCGTCTCCGATGTTTACTGTGATGATTAAGAGGATGCGTGGAGGAAAATGAAGTAAACAAGACTGTGGGTGACTGGTGACGGATGGCAGGGCTAAGCAGGAAAGGCACACACTAAATCACAAGGAAACTTTTGGCGGCTGAATAAACTGAAGATGCTGCAGACCCCCACATGTGAAACCGGTGTGAGCATCCATCATGGGAGCTTAGCCTGCAGGAATATGGCCGAGCTGTGTGATGAAGCCTGTCTGTCTAGCATTTTGCTGTAGCTGAGGACTGCTCCTGGAAGGCTTGGTCATCATCAAGCCGATTAAAATCCTGCGTGGTCCTGTGCCACTGTGCTATAACTATTATAGCCACTTCTGGGATTTGGCCAGGCCCAAGGACAGTTTGCAGGGATGTACTTTAAATCCCTTTTTAAGTCCAGATGAGGAAAGGACAGCGATGGCATGCATTTTGTTGCTGCTAAATGCACCTTTGGAGCCAAATGTGATGTGGTTTAATTATCAAGGAGACAGACACAGAGTTCACTGCCCTCCTGCTGGTGGGAGGGGAAAGGACATCCTGGAACCCATAAGAAGCAGCAGGACCAACAGACACTTTACAAGCCCAAAGCATGGTTATTGGCAAGAGATGAGGCAGCCATTGAAATTAGATTGTGTTTGGGGTATCTGTGTGTGTGTGTGTGTGTGTGTGTGTGTGTGTCTGTGTGTGTGTGTCTGTGTGTGTGTCTGTGTCTGTGTGTATCTGTGTCTGTGTGTGTCTCTGTGTGTGTGTCTGTGTGTGTGTGTGTGTCTGTGTGTGTGTGTCTGTGTGTGTGTGTCTCTGTGTGTGTGTGTCTGTGTCTGTGTGTGTCTGTGTATGTGTCTGTGTCTGTGTGTGTGTCTGTCTGTGTGTGTCTGTGTCTGTGTGTCTGTGTGTGTGTCTGTGTGTCTGTGTCTGTGT